GACTTCCCCCGTCATCAAGTTGGCAATAAATCTTAGAAGGTGCTGGGTGTTATATGGCCCGCGTGTAACATGGTGATGTAGAACACCATGGTTGCTGATAGCAGCACAGATTGTGACATTGCCACCTCGTTGACCAGGGACAATGGCCCGCTGTCCAATCATGTTTCGGCCTCTCCTTCTCCTCTTTGTTAGATTGAAGCCTGCTTCATCAACAAAGATGAAGTCATGGGGTCTGTCCAAGGATTCCAAGTCAAATATTGTCTGTGTAGAAATACAATATACTGTATTTAGAATTTTGTAAATCGTACAGAGACAGTGCTATATTGTAGAGTACAATTAGGCCTACTGTATGCACTTCTGATTCACATACATTGTATGTACTGAAGAGTAATGCCATTCACGTAGTATGTGTTAGTACTGTAGACAATCTAGATTACAGTAAATGTTTCTGTATGTACACTTACTTGCACATACTGAGCTCGCATTCCTTTCACCCTTGATGAGTTGCACTCAAAAGGTACTCTGTATACTTGTTTCATTCGCATCCTGTTACAATGGAGGACACGGTCAATTGTGGAAATGCTCACACTGTCGATTCCCTGGAAGTGTGTGTTGTCTTGTATCACTTGTTCCTGGATTTCTCTGAGTCGTATTACATTATCTTGAAGGACCATGCCCACTATAACGGCCTCTTGCTCCCGAGTGAATATAGCTGTCCTTCCACCTGCATGTGGCAGCCTTGCAATTCTACAAAAAGTAGATGTGCAGTTACAAAAAATATTCATGCAGTACTATACATACAGTGATGAACTTTACAAATGTCTATTGAAACAGCTGCATATAGTGTAGTACAGTAAATTTGCTATTACAAAAATACAGTAGTAAACTGTACCTGTTCTCTTCTCTGAATGTCCTTACTATGGTGGACACAGAAAATCGGCTCAAATTGGGTTGCACTCTAAGTCCTGCTTCCCTCATTGTCAGTCCATGGACAAGAACATGGTCTATGACTGTTGCTTGAATTTCATCAGATATTTCCACTCTTTGTCTTCCTCTTTCTCTTCGTCCTCCTCTTCCTCTTTCTTGCCCTCCTCTTCCTCTTTCTCCTCCTCCTCTTCCTCGCCCTCCTCCTCCTCTTCCTCTTTCTCGCCCTCCTCCTCCTCTTCCTCCTCGTCGCCCACCTCCTCCTCTTCCTCTTTCTTGTCCTCCTCCTCCTCGTCGCCCACCTCGCATACGCACTCGTCCTCTCACATTGTTTCTTCTATCCATTCTCAGACTTTCTCCTTCCCACCTTCAACAACCTGTTTGCTCTCTGAACTGGCTTATATTGGTTGTCACATCATTTGAAACAGGTTAAATCAATTTTGAGTGGTTGTGTTCTATCAATGATATGTGTTCTCTATTTGTATTTGATTGTTGCCACTTGTGTTTACAAGTATGGATGACATGTGCATTAGAGAGCAGAATGTGTTTTGAGAATGAGAATGTGTTTAGAGTTTTGCTGAACAGTCTAAGTGAGATCTGCAAATTGTGTTTTACCATGTGAAATGGTGTAAGGTATTGACAACAGACTGCACAATTAGCTAAATGAGTTCAGGCAACTGAGAACTTTGTTCAGCCAATGTGTTTTAGTGTTTTAGCAATCGAGAAAAACTGTAATTTCTTTAAAAAAAACTAAGAATAAAAATTTACTGACCCCAAACTTTTGAACGGTACTGTATATTGTTAGAAAAGATTTATATTTTAAATAAATGCTCTTCTTTTAAACTTTTTATTCATCAAAGAATCCTGAAAAAAAAGTATCACAGGTTCCAAAAAAATATTAAGCAGCATATTAGGATAATTTCTGAAGGATCATGTGACACTGAAGACTGTAGTAATGATGCTGAAAATTCAGCTTTGCATCACAGGAATAAATTTGATTTTAATGTATATTAAAATAGAAAAATTTTATTTTACATCGTAATAATATTTCACAATATTATTTTTTTTCCCTGTATTTTTGATCAATTAAATTCAGCCTTGATGAGCATAAGAAACTCCTTTAAAAAACATTTAAAGTTATTCTGATCCCACAATTTTGAGCGGTAGTATATATATACAGTGGGTACGGAAATTATTCAGACCCCCTTAAATTTTTCACTCTTTGTTATATTGCAGCCATTTGCTAAAATCATTTAAGTTCATTTTTTTTCCTCATTAATGTACACACAGCACCCCATATTGACAGAAAAACTCAGAATTGTTGACATTTTTGCAGATTTATTAAAAAAGAAAAACTGAAATATCACATGGTCCTAAGTATTCAGACCCTTTGCTCAGTATTTAGTAGAAGCACCCTTTTGATCTAATACAGCCATGAGTCTTTTTGGGAAAGATGCAACAAGTTTTTCACACCTGGATTTGGGGATCCTCTCCAGTTCTGTCAGGTTGGATGGTAAACGTTGGTGGACCGCCATTTTTAGGTCTCTCCAGAGATGCTCAATTGGGTTTTAGTCAGGGCTCTTGCTGGGCCATTCAAGAACAGTCACAGAGTTGTTGTGAAGCCCCTCCTTCGTTATTTTAGCTGTGTGCTTAGGGTCATTGTCTTGTTGGAAGGTAAACCTTCGGCCCAGTCTGAGTTCCTGAGCACTCTGGAGAAGGTTTTGGAGCTCAGCCACAGTGATCTTTGGGTTCTCCTTTACCTCTCTCACCAAGGCTCTTCTCCCCCGATAGCTCACTTTGGCCGGACGGCCAGCTCTAGGAAGGGGTGGCTGTCCACCAACGTTTACCATCCAACCTGACAGAACTGGAGAGGATCTGCAAGGAGGAATGGCAGAGGATCCCCAAATCCAGGTGTGAAAAACTTGTTGCATCTTTCCCCAAAAGACTCATGGCTGTATTAGATCAAAAGGGTGCTTCTACTAAATACTGAGCAAAGGGTCTGAATACTTAGGACCATGTGATATTTCAGTTTTTCTTTTTTAATAAATCTGCAAAAATGTCAACAATTCTGTGTTTTTCTGTCAATATGGGGTGCTGTGTGTACATTAATGAGGAAAAAAAATTAACTTAAATGATTTTAGCAAATGGCTGCAATATAACAGAGTGAAAAATTTAAGGGGGTCTGAATACTTTCCGTACCCACTGTATATATATATATGTTGTGCAGATAACATTAATCAGTCCTCACTTTCTAGATCAGCACAAATATTTTACTTAAGCTGCTCTTTAACCTCATTGTCTTAGTGCAAAAGGTCAAAGTTTGAACTAATGTTTATACTGTTTCTCCATGCCTAAGGTAATCATTTATTTACACCATACTGACATTGTCTTGTCCATTATTACAGTAGTGGTTCACAGACTAAGACAAAGAAAATGTAAACTGAATTGTATTGTCCAATGTCTTCTTAATTGTTCATGTCAAATCATGTCATGTATGATACAACATTTTTAATGTTTATCTATTTAGAAAAAAACAAACATGTTTGACATTGTAAATTAATACTGTGTATTGTGTACTTAACAAAGGCCCATAACTGTTAAATATATATATTAGAATGTAAGAGGAGTTTGCAAAGCATAGCATTTGGTCATTTGTTATATAAATTACTTGGTTTGTCTAAGTGACTTAAATTCTGTAGATTTAATGTCAAAAGATATGACACTTTTCTGCTTACCTACATTCACTTAATCTAGATTGGCTGATTCAATGAAAAGTTGACATAAACCAGACAGTACAAAACCACTGTTGAGAAAGGTTAACTTTTTATTCTGTTTTCATAACTGTTTTCTTTCATCCAGTGATGCTGTTCTTGATGGGGTACTACATTAGATAGTGTGGCCACTGGCCAGTTAATTTACATCCAGCAAAAACTGGAAGATGAAATCACTGTTTTCTCCAGAGCTGCTTTATAGACGAACCTAACTCATTCCATAATTGATAGACTTTATACAGTTGTCGGACGGAACTGACTCAACAAATGAACTGATTTCAACTGAATAATGACTGTTTAGTATTATCTTTTTAGAGCTGCTTTACAGCAGAGTTGAATTAGTTTGCATCACTGAATCTCTATTTTCTTGTCTATAACTGTAAAGATTCTTTTAAGTTATCTTTATTGTATAAAGTGCTATTTAAATAAAGGTGACTTGACAACAATTTTCTATTGAATCAGTGTTCACACTGGTCACTGAGTACAAGAGAGGCGAGGGGGTGGAAACAGATTATCTGTTCAAGAATGCAAGTCAATAGCAAAACTTGTGCTGAGGGCTGCTGCATTTGAGGCATGTGGCATTTGACAATTACATAAAAATATCAAATGTTACATAAATAGATAATTTCCAGTGTATTAAATGAGACAAACTCATTGATAATAATAATAATTTAAAAAAATGGATATGAACAAAAAAAACAACAGCGAAATGAATGTAATAAGCCATTTAATAATGTGTTGTGACTTAGCCTCAGTGAGTACAAATATTACAAACAGGATCTATATTATGTTTTAAGTGTTTTATAGTGTTCGAGAAATGTGGATATTTATCAAAAAAAATATTTCACTGACAAAAATAATTTCATTATATTCATTTAGTAGGTTATATCGTTAAAAATTTTAATTTGTCATGTTTTTATTTTCTAATCAGTCTTTAAAACCCAATAATGCCGGTGGGCAGCTAATGAGACTTTTTTCTTTCCATAAATAGAAAAACAAGAGGAAAAACAAACAAACAAAAAACTCAGCGACAGGTTTTTACTTTACTTTGAAATTCAAAAGCAAAGTATAAAATATTTTAGGTCCTAATGCCCACGTTTCGACATCTGTTCAACATTATCATATCAGTCACACTTTTCCTAACATTTACTCTTTAACCTTTTTTTAAAAATCTGACGAAACACAGGTCGGATGTGTACCGTCCAGTCTGAACACGTCATCACATGTCTCGGCCAATGGAAATGTAGGCGTGAGTGTATTCGCGCCTCAGATTGGTCAAAAGTTTCTGTTTCAACAGAGACGCGATATAAATGTCAACATCGATGTTGTAAGCCTGAAAAAGAAACTCAAACGAGAAGACAGGAGCTTAATTCAGATCCGGAAGACGAACTGTTCACGTAGTGTGATAATTGAGTATGGTGGACAGTGTTTACCGTACACGGTCTCTCGGTGTAGGTGTAGTTGGTCTTCCTGATCAGTATGCCGACGGTAAAGCAGCGAAAGTGTGGCAGCTGTACATCGGAGACACTCGGAGCAGGACAGAGGAGTACAAGAGCTGGGTGCTGTCCCTGCTCAGAAAACATGGGGTTCAGAAGGTGCTGGATGTAGCCTGCGGCACAGGGTATGACCTAAATTAAGTAATAATGATAATAATAACTTCTAAAATTCAAACTTTATGGCTGCACATAGTATTTAGCCTTAGGTTTACTCCAGACTGGCTGCTTGCTTTGTGGTTTACTCAACTCCCCTCTCAGAAATCTGGGGCATGTTGTTGGGCATTGAAGCAGAAGGCATTTTGGCTGAATTACACAAAGGCTGTGTTGCTGCAAGAGTCATGTCTGCTTGTGTTATTTGTCAGTGGCAGGTAGGTGTGTGTGTGT